TCGAAGCTTGAGGGTACAAATCGGTCAATGCTGGCTGGATGTACGCGCGACTTGTGTAAATGTAGTCCATTTGCTGTCTCGAAGGAGGCATCGCAGAGTGTGCACGCATGTAGGGCGACAGGGTGTTCAGCTGCTTCGGGAAGTTGTGATAGGAAGGACAGCTTGTCCCGGATGACTTGCAAAACCGAGTGCTCGGTTGTGATGTCTGGGCTTCTGGCTGCGCGTCGCTCAAGTTTGCGGAGTCTCTTCCTTAGCTTGATCTGCATCGCTTGAACCGGATCCTGAATGCTGTAAAGCTGGAAAAGATCCTTAGTGGTGATGCGGCTGGTATGTGCTGGCAAGTTCAGCACTGATCGCACCTTGTAAGCATGCCAACTACGTAGCTGCTTTGCCGACTCCTCACTTAGGCCGACGTCTGATAGGCCTGTCGTCAGTGTGCTCAGGACTGTGCTTTGCCAAACCTTGAGTCGCGACATGGTGCTCGCATACCTACGATTGTAGACAAATTGGCGGACTTGATGCAGCTTTTGCTTTGCCTCCCCTATGCGGTAATGCAATGTCTGCAGCTCGAAGTGGTTGTAGGAGATCATAACCCCCAGGTACTTGCTACAGGAAACCCACTGGAAGGCGGGGAACGATTTATTGGGCCCAATGCGCCATCCTCGAACCTGCTCGCCCTTGGAGTTTGTGATCCAGCAGCCGTGTTTGTTCAACACGTTTTGGGATTCTCTACCCGCTAACTTCACCAAGATGACGCACTTGCTAATGTTGACTCGGAGGCGGTGTTTGCGGACCTCCTCAAGTAACGCTGCGATGAGCGCATGAATGGCCTTGAGGTCCTTGTCGGAGCGGATAGTCCGATGGAGCGTGAGATCATCGGCGTATCCTGTCAGAAATTTCAAGACCTGCTCAGCACCGAATAGGTCAACCAGAGAGCGGAAAAGGTCACCTGTAAGGAGCGAGAAGAGTGTGGGGGCGAGCTTACAGCCTTGTTTTATGCCTGCTGTGGTTTCGACAGAGGTGGAATCTCCCTGCGCGTGAAGGACATAACGAGACCCGTCATGCAGAGCCTGAACGAGGTGGACTGTGTCCTGATCGGCCCCTTCTCTCTGAAGAAGGTCGATGATCTCTTGGCGAGAGACTGTGTCAAACGCTTGGCTCAGGTCAAGAGCAAAGGTGAGGCCGCCAACTAAGCCTGGGGCCTGAGTGCCTTGTTGCAAGGCATGTCTCGTGGGGTGGGCCTGTTCTAACAGGGATCGAGCCTCACGCAAGTGATGCACCACACGTTCTAGCGCGTCTGACAGCCCCCGACCTGGTAGATAAGCGAACTGTGGCATGTGCTTGAGGAACGAGAGGGTCAGTGGCTGAAGCGCTTCTCTGGCCGCTCCCGCCAGTCCCTTAGCGTCAGGTCGAAGGATACCCAATGGTCTCAAGTTCGCTGGTTTGTCAGAGGGTTTGCCCGGCTTGGGAATTAAGCAGAGATCAGCGTCTACGAGGTCGGATTCGAGGCTGTCCTCGGCCTGCTTGGATGCTACGTGTTTTGAGAGGATCGGTGCGACGATGTCGCTGCACAGTCTCCACACAGCCGCGGGTGCGGCTCCGTCAGGAACAGCTTTATTAGGCTTGATAGAGCGAATGTGAGCTGCTAGTTTGGGCGGCTCCAAAACAGGGAAAGCTCCATGCAGTGTCCGTAACGGAGGGTGGGCCGCAAAGACCTGATTTGCATATTCCCTGAGGGCTGCTAGCTCCTGCGCTGGACCCAGCAAGTGTCCTGTGTTGTCCTTGAGCTGAGCTCTGCGCGCAGGCTGCCAAGGCTGCAGTTTTTTGAGGGTTTGAAAGGAGATGTGTTGGTCACCTTCAGCCAGACTCGCGTCCACCTCCGATATGAAACTCGCGATCCTATCTTTCTTTGCTTGTTTCACAGCCTGGCGATGTGCCACTTGCGCCAGTTCAGCTTCAGTGTCTGGCGGACATGGCGTGTGCTGATTAGGAGGCTGTGCCATTACGTTAGGTGACTCGATCAGCTGTGCTGAGGGAGTTGTGTTCGCAACCCTGTCATGGGTACGGGCCCGCCACATGCGTCGGGTTTCTGACTCCAACGGGATCGGTCTTCGTTTGGGAATTTTTGGAAAAAAGCGTTCTGCACCTTCCAAAAGCAACGCATTCCATGCCTTGGGGTCCTGGCAGGTGTCAATTCTGGAAGCTATCCAGCTGTGCAGTGCCTTTGCCGTCTCGTCCTCCTCTCTGACCGAGGCCTGTAGAGCTAGTGAATCGTAACGGCGCGTGCTGAGCTTATGGGATGGGAGCAGCCAGTGATGTTGGAGGGGTACGTCAGCTTTAAGCGGGTAATGCCCTCCTTTCTTCCAGCTTCCCAACGGGCAATCCACCCAGGGGGCTGACCTTTTTGCTTTGCCTCCTGCCGTAGATTCTTTGGTTAAAATGAAGTCAATTTGCGACTCCACTCCTCCTTGTGAGAAGGTGGCTATATGGTCACATTGCCAGGTGTTAAGGGCAACCAAACGCAACCTGAGCAGCAGGTTAAACAAGTTGGATTCGTCAGGGCGGTCCTCAGTGGGCGGCTTCACGTGCGTTCCCACCAATGGAGGGCTCGGACGCAGGGAAGTGTTAAAATCACCTGCTACAATAAGGGAGTCCCTCTTAGGCACCTGCTTGATCACCTTGGACATGACGGATAGTACCTTAGCACGGTCATCCTTATTGGACTGGTTGGCAGAAGACCAAGCGTGTTGGTACACCGCGACAACAACCAGCCGAGTACCTGCAATGTCTGCACGAGCTTCTAAGACCCTACCCGGGCTCCACTCCTTCCAGCGTAAGCTCTTGGGGGCGAACTTGGGCGAGAATAGGATCATGACTCCATCAGCGCGAGTCGTGGATGGAGCTCGCGGTTCTTGCCGAGTTTTACGCTTCGCAGCTTGTTTAGGCCGGGTATTTGGTTTGGTAGACTCCGAGGCTGAGGAGATACAGTACCACCCAGAAACGCTGAATTCACTGGTCTCAGTCCAGTGCGTTTCCTGTAATATGAGGACGTCACAGTGATGCGAGGCTTCAGCTGCTAGCCACGTTTTGAGTTCGCCCCATTGCTGTTGACCTAGGTGTCCTGCGTTCCACGAAATAACTCGGATGGATCTTTCCAACCGGCCTGCCCTGCGGGAGGCTGTGCCATATGCAGGGGAGTCAGCAGTCTGTGACTGAAGCTCTCTTCGAGTGGGTGGGGGGCGTACCCCCAGACGATCAACCAGGGTAGGTGTCAGAACCTGCCCTCGGTATGGTACGGGCCCGTCACTACGGACTGTCCTTCTACATGCTGTCTTGAACGAATTCTTACGAAGAGATGCGAAGTTTTGTGAGTGCACTGGCAATTGCGCCATCCGCTACTTTCGTCAAGAGACCGAAGCCTAATGACTCCCTCCACCGCGCGGAGGTGGAAACCCTACCGCCTGCCCAGTGTTGCAATGTTTTAAACAGAGTCTGGGCCCAGGAATTGGGACCTGGCGGCTCAAAGCAGCTCCTGCGAGAAAAGGGAGAGGACCATGGCGTAGAAAGGAGGCGCAAACCTTTACTGTTCAGAAAAGGGCCCAGTAGGAGCCTCTAGCACAGCAGTTGCGCCCCAAGCCTGTTCGAAACCTCTCATCCAGCGCGGCCGCTTGAGCACTTGTGGCGGCTACTACCACCACCACTACTACTACTACTACTACTACTACTACGACTACTACTACTGCTACTACTCCTACTCCGACTGCTACTGCTACTGCCACTGCCACTAGTGCCACTGCCACTGCCACTACCACTACCACTACGACGACGACGACGACGACGACTACTACTACTGCTACTACTACTACTGCTACTACTACTACTACTCCTCCTCCTCGTCCCTACTGCGAACACAACGAACACAGGGGAAGCAGTACTATAACGACCGAGACCACTAGAAGTACAACAACTGCAACTACGACCTCCACCCGCACCATCGCCGCCAGCACCAGAGCAGACACCGCCACCACTAGCACTATGCCCTTACTAGTCCTGCTCCCCCACCAATGCTGCTGTGGAAACGATTTGTGTGTCTCAGCTAAGCAGCCGCGAAAAAAGCGAAAAATGCAACAAACGCAAAAACCCAAAACGCAAGAAAAACGCACAAATGCAAAAACACAATAAAAATGCGACGACGCCGAAAAAAGTAGTCATAACAACAATCGCAATAGTGATAGTGATAGTCATTGTAATGGCAATTTAGTACGAATAACAATACCAGTAGTCCAAGTAGTAATAATAATAATAGTGATAGCATTAGTAATGGCAAAAGCAATACTAATAATAGTAGTGACAGTAATAGTCATTGAAATATCAATAGTAATAGCAATAGCAGCAGCAACAGTAATGGTAATAGTAATACCAATACTAATTGTTATAGTAATAGTAGGAGTTAGTAGTAATAATAATAATAAGAATAGCAATAATAATCGCAATATTAGTAGTAATAGGAATAGGAACATTGCGAGAATTCGAAAAAGTGAACAAAAAAATAAAAAACACGTACTAGCAATAGCCAATAGCAATCGTCATAGTAAAATAATGAATTTCACTGTAATCCTAGTAAGAATATTAACAACTGTAGGCGCACGTTTCGTGTCTTTCGACTTTTCGTGTTGTTCGACTTTTTGCGTGCTGCACGTCGACTCCCCGATTGTGCACGGCACCCAAAATGCTCGCTTAACATTAACAATACTGCTGCTGCTGCCACTGCCGAACATGCTGCTACGGCGACGAGGGTGCCGATGTTGTCGCTGCCGAAGTGGACGACAACGGCGACGAGCACCATGCTAATTGCCAAAGCACAACACTCTTTGCATTGAATGTAACATTGTTTCATGTGCAGTCTGTGTGCACTTTGGAAGAGAATGACCACTAGCATGCCCAGCGCAGTGTTCCAGGCGCATAAAGAATTGCGTAGCAAACGCTCGCAGCCAAGGAGCATTTCACATAGGGGAGTTCCTTCGGATGGGGCAAGACCCACCGCACGGAGGAAGGACCTCGCTGCACAGCTGTTTAAAAGGAGAGGCTATCGGCCCTAAGCCCTGTCACCAATGTGCACGCGGATGAGATTGAGATTCACACTCCATCAAAGCAGCCGATTCAGTGCATCTGCCCAAGGAGTAGGAGAACCGTCACAACTGAGATCCCGAACCCTCCACTCACAAACGTCATCATAGAAATCTTACTGCTGACAAGCAGAATCACGATATGCAGATGATGATGATGAGGACGAGACGAGCAATGGTAGTAGTAAAAAAAGAAAAGATAATGATAGCAGCAAAGGAGTGATGCATGCATGGCTCACGACAAAAACACGGAGTCCGCTGTCCTTCTTTGATGTCTTCTGTGCTTCTCCCCGCTTGAGCAGAGAACGTTCCGCGTGTGAAATCCGATCACCACAATGCCGAGCGTGACAGACAGGAACCCCAAGCTCTTTCAGAGACGAACTCAAAAGGGGGTTTCCGAAAATAGGGAACCCTAAATAGTAGGATCCTTACTATAAGGACCCCAAATGAGGTACCCGTAGTTTTCGGAAACCCCCATATGCAAACAGAACCAGCCTTCGTGGCTTCATGGCAGCAAAAGTAGCGAGAAAACCGCCTTCTTTCGTTCAGCGGGGCGGCCCTTAGGTCCGAAGTCCAGCATCCGAGGTTCGAGAGCTCGCAGCCTTCGAGCTGATAAGGAGCTCTCTAATAAGAAGGAGACCCCGAAAATAGGGGACCCTAATATAGTACCCTAAATAATAGGATCCTTATTGTAAGAACCTCAAATAAGGTATCCCTAATTTTGGGAAACTTTAATAAGAAGGAGACCCCTACTTGGGACCCCCGCAGCCTTGGTCAACATGCTGCAAGGCCAGCTTCGGACATCATCGCTGTGCAGCGTTTTTCTGGGTTTAGGGTTTTAGGGTTTTTTGTTTAGGGTGTTAGGGTTTAGGGTTTGGGTTCCTTGGTTTCAAGCTGTCCAGGGCTGGGGCGAAGGACTGGAGTGGATTGCGCTGGCCACTGCAGCTCGCCGGACACTTGGCGTCGTAGTGGTCGGAGAACGTATCTCCATTGCCTGATTCAGGAGCTCTGATCTCATTCTTCGATGCTCCGAATGGCTTCGAGGGACCAGGAGTCCAGAGCTCCAGACAAAAAAAAGGCGGCAAAGAGGCGAGTGGGCGAGTGGGATGGAAGTTGTCGGAAAGCCGGGCTACACTTGCTTATGCAACGCTGCTTGAAATCCCTCCCTCGCAGTGCCATCGGATTCGAAGGATTCTCTTAAAGAATCCCGTGGTGCTCGCGCTGGCAACTGATGCTGGACTTGCCATACAATATGTGACTGACTGCCTGTTTCGGCAACCTCTCGCGCAGAACAGGTTCCACAGCATCAGACAAGATAAGTTGATGAAATCAATCTTGACAACCCAAAGCGGTCTCTGGGTATCAATAATTCGGGCAGCACACCCTGTAGCAACTCAGAACTCCAGGACTGTGGATCTTAGTTCAAGGTGGCTCAGGGGTGCTGCTGCTTTGTGAGTAGAAAGAGCTGGAAGCTGACACTGCCGATCCCACTGTGCAGCTTCGATTCCTCTGCGTCCTGACACGTCGCTTGACAGATGGGTCCGGGCAAGTGTGTCATTGCTGAGACATCCGTCTTCTCAGAAGACGGAGGCACAGAAGTACCCTCAATGGGTCATAAAAGAAGTCGACTTGGGATGAATCGTGCACGCTAGCCTAAATCACAGTTGCGCTGGCAGCGGCATGGGCAGAGTCAATGTTTCGGGCCACAGCAAAAACTTCAGCAGCAAGACTGTCAAAGTGAAGATGCCTCTCAGTGCAACTACCCCGCGACCCTAGGACTCGACAGCACCCTTGAAAGCCTCATGAGACGCTACAAGAAGCCTAATAATTTCCACTGCCAACTAGCCGGGAAGTACGGACTCCGCAGCTAGAGTCGAGAAAAGGCCTTGGGTTCAGGGTTTCGGGTTTAGGCTTCAGACCTCGCGGCTTATATAGGGTTTGGGATTTAGGGTTTAGGGGTTTAGGGGTTTAGGGTAATGTAGGAACCATAGGGCTCCTTTAAAGGGTTCCTTGAAGGGGTCTATAAGGGATCTATAGTAGGGTTCTATTAAGGTTTGGGAGTTCCGACGTTCGGTGCATGTGGGGCTCGCGAGGTTTCATCTGCTTTTCGTGCCGATCTCACCCCTCGATCTTCGGACATACAAAGGCCTCGATCTTCAGTCTGAGCTTTCGGGGCACCCATATTACTTATTACTTCTAGTAGCTCAATCTTATTTTGGTAAGCCTACCATATCACCAAGTCAGAGATATTACTTATCACTTATAGTAGCTTAATCTTCTTTTGGAAAGCTTATCACATCATCAAGTCAAAGGAGCCCTTTCAAAAAAGGCATCCCATTTGGATGACTCTTTCAAAAGTATAACACTTCACGGACGGAACACCAACAATACCTCCTCAATTCACCAGCAACCTATTGCACCAGAACTCGTGCACAACTTTCAGGCGCCCAGCTGCACACACTGAAGCTACATGGGTAACGAGACCACTTGGCGATCATCCTTGCCGAGGTGCTCTGCCTTAAACCCAGAATAACCGAAGCTAGCAGCAGACATCCGGCAGGCTCACTTGCTCGAGCCCCTTCTCCTGCCTGGCACGGTTTTCGGCTTCGGAGCTTTAGACTTTATGTTTAGGTTTGCGGCTGCACTCACCAACCCCTGGCGTGTCGATGTAATGCTGCCATTGCAATACTGAATAAAGGTTGTGATGGCGATCACGTTGTTTTTTAGCGACAATGTCTAGAATCTCGCTGATGCTGCTGATGCAGCCGCTTTGCTGCCACTACAGCTGCGACTGCTACTGCAGCTGCAGCTGCTACTGCTACTCCGCCAGCTTTCCTTACCTGACTGTGCTCACTGCTTTCGTATTTGCTAGCCCAAAGGCAAGGCCTGACTTGTGCTCGTTCGTGAGCTCCATCCAAGTCTTAACCACGGGGCCCACCTGGGGTTCAGGGTTTAGGGCTTGGGGATTCGGGGTCCCTTTAAAGGGATCTATAGGGGAACTTTAAGGGTTTAGGGCTTAGGGGTTTAGGGCTTAGGGTTTATAGGATTCAGGGTTAAGCTTTTTCAATTCCTGGGGCTGGAGGTAAGGAGCTTTCGGTGAAGGATTTAGGGGTTGAAAGGGGAGTGTTGGGGATTTGATGTGTGCCAGCTGGTCTTTCAGTCATGTGTGTCGTTCCCTACAATTAGCTTCACCTCGAAGCATCATACCGTAAGAGGACCGTACTCCCTGCTGGGGCTCACACAACGTGCCGCCGTAGTACGTTCAAAAAGCGCCTAAATCCCCCGGAAAAACCTTAACAAGTTCGTTGGTCAGATGACCCGACGAGGGATGCGGACTTCCAAGATGTACAGCGACAGGGATACCAGAAAAATCTCAGGATAACCAGCTATCATCAGGGGAACTGTGAACAAGTACCAGCCGTTGCAACACGACAAATCCCTCCACACCCAAAAACAGAAAGGCCTTGGACATGGAGTCGTTCTTCTTGTACGGCACCACCTCCCGCAAGAAGCCAAGAGAGAAATCGCCCCCGCGTTTCCTAGGGTGTAGGCCTTTGGGTGCAAAGGTTACTAGGACTTAAGGGTCTTTGAGGCTTTGGGTTCAGGGGCTTCCCGGCCAAAGCCTTGCCATCGCTCTCCATGGGACGCAGGCCTCGGGAAGCGGCCGTGAAAACTAAGAAGTGTGCTCCTTGTCTGCATCTTCTGCTGGTCGAGTCCTTCTGGTATTGGGGCTTATCGGGGCTTGGGTCCCCTAAACCCTAAAGCCTGAGGGGTTTAAAGTCGGGGCTTAGGTCGGGGCTTCGGATCGTGATTGGAGCCCGAGCAGTTGGAGGACACCTGAAACTTCGCAAGTAGGTGCCGCACTGCCCTCGAGGCGTTCCAACCTGTCCGCAAGCCAGAAGACCTGGAAAGCGGTGGAGTTTCTCGTGAGCGGGGAAGATGTGCAGCCATGGAAAGCTAGCAAACGGATTCAGTTTACCTTGAGGCAACGTGGCATCACCCCCAACTTCAAGACCAGAAATTGAAGCGCGACATCTGGGGTCGCAACGATACGCTTGTTCTGATACCTTGGCTGAGCGAGTACAGCATCACATGGCATGCCGCTACCCTGGCTGGGATATGAGGATCTGAGAGTGCCCGAGACCTTTGAGACATCTGGCTGTCGGGCCATGGCAGCTTTTCGACTCCGCTTCCGAGGGGCATCAGGGTGGCCATGTCAATGGACTTCGCCTGTCCCCGCAGGCGCAAGCAGCCTTGCATGAACTCCTGGAGGCACGCTTGAGGCTTTGCCTTCTGGATTACACTCCCAGCCCTAGCATCCGAGCACTGGTCTCATGTCCCCAGGCCCGAAGGACATCGCAAATCCCTGTATGCTTCGACCTCGTCATCGTAGCAGTTCCCAGAGCAACGCAACAACCTGCTTCAAAGCCGGTCGAAGCAGTAGACCCAGGCCAGGGCGCCCCCGCTTCCCAACACACCAAAACATCTTGAAGACCAGAGCGATGGGTTTAGGGTTCGGGGCTTTAGGTGAGAGACCCAAGAAATTGGGCAAGCTTCCGGCACTCGGGTCCTGCAGGCTCACACTGCCTGACTCATCCGCATCTAAAAGGCCGAAGAGACCTCTCGCCTGTCCAAGCTTTCAATTGGCTTTCGCGGCGTTTTGTTAGATGAGGGTTTAGGGTTTGAGATTTAGGGTTTAAGGGTCAAGGTTGATCCGATCCGATTATTTGGGGTTCTATAGTGGGCTTCCAGATCATCTGAAGTCTTCAGACTGCAGGGAATTCTTTAGGCTTGGGACTTGTTTTGCGGGGCAGGAATGTATTGGGAGGGTTTGCGGGTAAGGATTTTCTTGCTCCGGGCCGAGGATGGAGGCCTGCGGAAGTTCAGTAGGTTGTCTTGATTGCGGTCCAGGGCCGTGTACAGGAGTTTGGGCTTTCGGATCCTTGCACATTGAGGTTGACGTGGAATCGAGTTCCAGGACGGCGTGCGAGGCTTCGCAGTGAAATCGTGGAAGCAGAGGACCAAAGGTCAGGGCTTCATTGTCTACCGGCCACATGTGGCAGAGATCAACCCGGCCTCACTCGCGTTGATGCCAAGACTGCCGAAGTACTTCAAATTTGATGGCTCCTCCAGCCTTCCACGTTCCCAAACAACTTGCGAAGACAGCATAACCAATCACACTGACTGGTCTCTGCACTGACGATACCTGGATCTTATCCTCACCAAGATCTTGCTACCTCCAAAACCGCTGACAGATGACACCACCTTCGCTGTGTTGCGCAAACGCTCTGCGCCGTGGCTGAGCCGTCAGAAATTACTGTTATTTCCTTTCTGTCCTACATCATAGTGATAAATGTTTGTTCCGTGATGCTTCGTGCAGGAGTACTATTTTGTTGCCACTACTCCTGTCATTACGGGCGTGTTATGGATGCTGCGCAGCCTCCACTTCTATAGCTGCGACTTCTGCTCTGTCGCAGATATCGTTACCACAGCGACTCTTCCCGGTATCGCTTAGCACCCCTAAACCCCTAAACCCTAAACCCTAAACCCTACACCCTAACCATTGTGAAGCCGTTGTGCACGGCTACACACCATCTCAGCAATCATACTAACTTCGCCTTCACAGTCCTGTTGCTTAGGACATTAAATGTTTCTAAGCTTGGGGCAGTTCGGGTCTAGGCTACGATTGAGCGCTTCTTGTTCGGCCGTTGCCACTAGTTCTTGCGCAGACATTTTGACCGGGGCCGCCACGTCTTCGAAAACTCGCTCCAGGTGAGGACACCTCGGACATTCTAACGCTGTGGCACTGGTAGGAAGATTTTAGGAGACAATCTGAATGAGCTGATCCGTGGTGCTCGTAACAATACGAAGTCATGAACATAGCCATAGTAAGTATAAGCGTGAACGATGCAAAACAAAACAATACAAATCAGATTGAAAACAACCCGAGGCCCCAGGAAAAACAGCCAGCAGTAAACAGCAAAAATGAAGTTGGAACCGACTTTAGGCATCACTACCACAGGCAACCCCCGTCAAAACAACAATCCTCCTTGCCAGCGCCAGTGGCCGCTTTGGTCGTGGTCAGCAACCTGGAAGATCTTCTTCACCGAGCTGATCACCTTTTCTTACTCTGAACCGCACCAACCCTCAACAGGCTTGAGTTTAAGGCTCTTGTACTTTGAGGTTCATGCGACTTAGTAAGTACGGTTATAATTAAGGTAACTATACTTATAACTAGTTATAACCTCAGTTAAGGTACTTATAACTTTAGTTGCTAAGTTCCATGAACCTCCAAGTAAAGTTGCTTTAGACTTCTGATCTCCTTGCTCGCGCATCTGCTGGCGCTGTAGCTTTCTGGTCGGTGTTTGTTTAAGATCGGTTTGGGTTTGGGAAACTTCCGGGGCTCTCTAAGGCTTCTTCAGGGTGTTTCGCGGTGTTTATGGTGCTTTACTTGAAGAGCTTAGGGTATATGGGTTCCTTTAAAGGGATCTAGGGGAGTTTAGGGTTGAAGGGTTTCAAACCCTAGTGCTTCGAGCTCAGGGCTTTGATTTTGGAGGCGTTGGGATGGCCGGCGAGCCACTACTTCTACTCGCGACAGCTGCAACACCGAAAGCCTGCCCAAAACCCGAAACCCTCGAACCCTTAACCCTCTGCCCACACCCCTCAAACCCTGAAACCCCATAGTCGGAGCTCATCTTCTGCTGAGTCGAAGGCCTCCTTCTCACGGTCCTGTCAGGTGCACCGAGACATCTTTGCACTTGGACCTTCCGATGGGTTTTATCCTTAGTCAGGGACCTACCACTTCTGAGCAAGAGAAACTACAGGGGCCGAGGACTATTCCTCGTTGAAGGTATTTGGTACCTCGTATTATACTCTGTGATTACAGCTGTTACAGATATTATTTCCACGATTCTTTCCTTCTCATTCTTAGTCTTATTATTATTAATTACTGTTTTTGGTGCGATCATGGTTATGATTAGAGTTCTCGCTAACATTATTATTAATCTTATTACTATTATGATTAGGATTATTATTATTGTTATTACCATTATAATTATAATTGTTGTTGTATCTTCCATTCCGACAGCTGGCGCGGGCCTCTCTTGCCGACCCGAGGGCCGACTCGACGAAAACGCCCGTAACCACGTTCATCATGGCCAAAACCTGAGGGGGTTTGGGTTTTAGGATTCAGGGTTTAGGGTTTAGGGTTGAGGGATGAGGGGGTTTGGGTTTTAGGGTTGTTTAGGGTTTTAGGATTCAGGGTTTAGGGTTTAGGGTTTAGGGTTGAGGGGGTTTGGGTTTTAGGGTTGTTTAGGGCTTTAGGGTTTAGGGTTTAGGGGTTTTTTGGTTAGGGCTTTAGGGTTGCTTAGAGCTTTAGGGCTTGAGGGTTTGCTATGCCGAATGATCTGTCACAGGTTTAGTCTTTGCTGCTTTTTGAGGAAACGAAGTGGTTGCTTGCAGCCCGCGGTGTCACTCTCGGGCCCCGTCCGCAAAAGCGACGTACAGGGCGAAGCCCTGAGCCACGTTCCAGGGACAAGGGCTTGAGGCACAGGGCATAGGTCACTTTGGTGTTTAGGTGCCCTTTCCCACTGCAGGATCTGCACAGGGTTTAGCGTTCAAGGAGGGGCTGCTTGGTCTTCTCTTTTAGGGTTTAGGGCTCACGGATTGGTGTTTAGGACTCCCATGTGGGGCTGAGAGCTAGATGTCACAAGTCTTGGCCTGAAGATAAGCTGCTTACGAACCCTTCAACTGTCGAACGCGTCTTGGTGATAATCAACTTGAAGACTATCGTCATCCTGCCTGCTTCCTCGTCCTCCACATTCTCGTAATCGTGCTCCCTGCTCGTCATCATCATCCTACGACTTCTATCCGCATCCTCGCCACAACCACGAACATCATCGCTAAGCTTGTGATTGCATCTCCATGGGATGGAGCACCAACTGGCACCATGACAGCCCAGATCCCGAGCTACCCATAGCTGACAGGTAAAACCGAAGCCTCCGACGAGTGAAAAACCAAGCCGAAAACTGCTGCCCATGTGCACCATTCATGGAACACCCTCGCAGTGCTAAACACTCCAGCTTCTCACCCGAGCATGATAGAAAGCCAAAACAACACCCTCGATCGTGAGAATGCCGAGCACATCCTATACACCCCTCCCACCGCAACCTGCTTTTCGCCTTGCAGTGTGATAATCCCAGCTGAGCTCCAAGCAACTGTCATCATAGGGGAGATACCTTTGAGCACGGAGCTTCAAGATTGAGGTTTATTGGTGGTGCCGTCAACCCCTTACCAGTACCAGAGAGAAACCTTCTTCGCATGGGCTGCTGAAGGACTGAGCCTTCTCTGCTCTGTTGCAGTTTCGACAACTGTCATTCACCGCAGGTGTCCGCAAAACTCTAAACCATCCAAGCCTGAACCCCAGGATGACTAGATGAATCCACGCTGCTTTCTTCCAACGGCTTGCTGAGGTCGTTCCAATCCACTCCACCAGTCATGGCCTTCTCGGTTTCGACTGGATGTTGATTTGGACAAAGGACGTGAGGACTCGAGGATGTCAAGGATAAATAGGGGAGCAGGAGAATGCTGCTGTTGAGAGTGAGCATGGTGAAGAGCACGGCCATAGTAACCATCATGATTGCAAGTATCGTCGTAGCAGCCGTCATGAGTCAGTAGCATCACTATCGTTGTATGGCCACGGTGTGATACCGATCATCCACGTGGTGCTAGTGGTGGCGGCGGGGAGGTGGCGGAAGTGACGGCGGTGCGGGCGTCCTAAGCTCAACAATCTGATTGCAGTATCATTGACTAGCTGTGTTTGCCAGTTCGGTGGCTGCCAATATCATGAGGGATGATACTGCCGTCGTTCCCTGTGAGTACGCCGACCCGAGGTACTGTTGCTGTCGGTACTCTCACGCCTATTGCCAGTCCTCATCTTCCTGGAGCTTTACTTCGGGCATTAGTCAGTATTGTAAGCAGCAAACTTTTCACTTCAACTAGTAAGACTATTGCTATTGTTCTGAGCACATCTTTCTGTGACTGTTGCCTCTTGGTATTACGGACTTTTGCGACTAATTATGACTCGGCATGGCGCCATCTTCATTCATAAAGGCTGTTGAAAAGCCGAAATGCACCAGGAGCAGCCCAGGGCCTGGTACAAGGACAACACCGCTCGCGGCAGACTGCCATAGAACTCCACCAGATCCTGTTAGGGTTTAGGGTTTAGGATATGTGACGCTGAACCCTAGGCCCTAAGCCCCTAAACCCCTAAACACTGCGTTCTAGGGTGGGCCGTGAACTTGAACCTGGGCTCCGCATAGACCTGAAGCAGAGGCATCATGATCTCGATGCCCTGAAGGGAATGTATAGGGAAACCTTGCGCCAGTCATCCTAAATTTTAGGATCTAAAGGGTTCTTTCCACGACAGCGTGACAAGTGCTCTTCGTCGTAATGCGTCAGACTTCATCGCTGAGCGCCAAACCCCACAATCCTCAACCATTCATCTCAAACTTCTCAACCCGACATCCTACACCCTCAACCCCTAAACCTAGAGTTCAACCTCAAACCCTAAACCTGTAATCTGAAAGCCCCAACCGCAGTTGCCGTTGCTTACTGCGTTGTGGGCCGCACTGACTTTAGCTGCAACAACCCGACGCTTGAGCCCTGAACCCAGAGACTCCTATGTCTTTTAATCAAGGAATATACCTTAAATCATGCGATATGTTAAGACATGTTCCTTTCTTTGGGGATATCAGAGCCTCTGGGAACCTTTAAGCCCAAATTCGCAACCGTCCTGCGTCATGGCGCCTGGAGTTTCCAAGCCTCGGTATCGCATGACGGGCGATCCAGGGCTACTTGGGGGATCATGGGACTCAGAAGCTTAAAAGGCTGTTTACAGGGATTTCTAGGTTCCTTAGAGGGATCTATAGGGTTTAGGATTTAGAGTCTACTTGGAGGATCATGGGACTTAGTAAGTAAGGCTATAAGCAGGTACTTATAAGTTACTTATCTGGATGGTTACCTTATTTGTACCCTTAGTTTCTGAGTCCCACCAACCTCCAAGTAGGGCTCACAGGATTTAGGGTTACACGTCCAGGAGTTTTGGGTCTACAGTCTGGGGGTATTAGAACAAGTACCTAGGGTTTGCCGATGAGTACGCATCACAAGGGCTACATTCCCTATAGCCGGCTACAATGTACCCATTAACCCTCAGGGACTGCTTCAAGAAGTAAGGAAGGCTGATTGAGTTTTCATAGAGGCTCAGCGAACAAGACAGACTGCCGAGTTTTCAGATTCTGTTAGTACTTCGACATTCTGCGGCGACACTGGAACAGAACATGACTCGGAATGACACGCTATTTCTGAGGCTCTGGCCCCGGTCTGCAATCAACTGGCATAGGCAGACCTGGGCAAGTATGAAGCCAGCAAGAACGCACGCGAACAGAAGCATTGACCCTGTCCTGTAACACAGTGAGGCCAAGGGACTCCGATGATGTACTTGATGAGGAGCATGAGTAAGATCGTCCAAACCAGCGACTTCATGGAGCCCACGATGGACATGACCTGCGAGCCCGATGCGCAGTGGGACGCGGCAGGCTCGAAGGCTACTCGGCGAAATCAAACATGCATGAGCCCACCATGGTGCGAAGCTCGCTGACAAACTGCAGGAGCCGTACGAGCCGCATGATTCTCAGCAACCTGCATCCGTGGGCTCGAGCGTGAGGCTTTCAAATTGGCATCGCCCAGGAAAGAGGAACGACCAGAAACGGATGCAGAGTGCACCCAGTCTACAGCCTACATCTCAAGCCATTCTCAAATTGTCAGCTCTCTGCACAAAGTCCAACACCCGAAACGTCAGTCATCTCACCCAAATCTCGAATCGAACCAATCGAGCTCAGATCCAGATAGCGCTAGTGGGGACCCTCTGCACTGAATGGAATTGTCGCCCTTAGAGTGCCTTAGCTACCTGCATGCTTCGCTGTCCGTAAAACCCCGCAAAATTGCACAGAAGATAGACTTTGCGCTTTCCTGCGTACAGAGACCAACCGTGTTCCTTGCAAGTGCTTTACCATTCCACACCCTTGCCCGAAGGCTAAGCTAACCCTTGGTTAGTTGGGAACGGAGGAATGGGGTAGAATTAAAACTACTATTACTACAATTCTTCCACTCCCTACTTTACTAACCAAAGCTAAGCCGAAGGCTAAGGCGGTCCCAGCCGAGGCACCGGAGGATCCGCATCACGCGCATGAAGCCCAAGTTCCCGCCCTGAGCCGCTTGTGAGCCCACCTTGGGAGTCGGCGTCCCTCGCGTTTCGGCTTTGCTGTCCCGGTCGTGGCAAGATACGGTATGTAGCAGGTAGGGCCGAGATTTTGGCACCTGTACCACCATACTTTACGTGCATCTTCTTCCAGACTTCATTAGACCCAGGCTCCGCTGCAACGAAAGATAGGCACCCCTTGGCATCACTCTGACGATACGTCTTAAACATTGCTGTAAATCCCCAGAAGGTGAACGAACTCACCATGTACCGAAATAGCAGCAAACCACGAAGTACCACCAGTAAAGCCAGAAGCGTTCTGAGGGAGCGGCTGCCAGCGTAGATAGCTCCTCGATCATCTGAAGCCTTCCGGTCAGGCACTCGCCGTTGAAGGACCGAAGCAAGTCATAGCAACAGAAACATCGACTTCTTGACGCCAGGCTCACCCAGTCTTGCCACTGTAAGAGGGTGCACTAACAATCTCAAAACTGCTGGCCGACAATCTCAACATGACAGAGGTCAGGTATGTAATTTCTTGGTCTGACTATCACTATGGCTACTCCTGCTATACTTTACTGCACTGGTGTCCCCGAACCCAAGACAGCCGCACCCGACAATGGTCGAGTCGAAGAGGGCCCACCTCCACATGCGAGGCACACTCTTTCAGGGGCTTGGGGTTCACAGTGCTGTAAGGGTTTAGGGTTTAGTGTAGCATGAGGGTTTACGGCTTTAGAGTTGAGGGTTTAGTGTCCTGTGAGTGCCAACATGTTACGGGTTTAGGGCTTAGTTACTTAGGTTATTAGAATTCATAGGGCTTCGGAAAGGGTTCAGGAGTCTTGTCTTTAAAAATACCGTCTGGATTTCTGAGACTTAAGCAACGAGAGCCTAAGCGAGTCTG